CCATTTCATGTTCTCAACAAATCTCAAACAAGTGGAACCATGGTTACAAATGAATAAAAGTAAAAGCTCCGGTTTGGGCTAGATAGTGATGCCTTGTTACTTGAACCATCTCTGTTTCAAGAGGAATGTACACTTTATTTTGTAGAAACATCAAAGTAACCACTACATGAGAAGACTCTGCAAAGCTTAGAGTCCATTGAGTGATTCCCACTGTACCAGAAGCGTGTGTGCATACATTGTTGAATGGTGATGATATCAGGGATTGTTCACCAAAATGTGTGTTTATCCTGCCCTCCATTACAGCATTCATTGCAAACACATGCAAAGGCAAAACAAGTATTTCTCTGAAAACTGACTGACTGAGTTTGGTTTTATGCCGCTTTTAGCAATATTCCAGCAACATCACGGCGGGGGACACCAGAAATGGGCTTCACACATTGTTCCCATGTGGGGATTCGAACCCGGGTCTTCGGCGTGACGAGCAAATGCTTTAACCATTAGGCTACCCCACCGACCCAATTCTCTGAAAAATGTGATCAGGAGTATCATAATGATACACAAGCTTCTTGTTATTTTTTACCTTACACATATTATAATGAGTTTTCATGATTAAACATTTACCTTACCAGAAGTAAAAAACAATGTAAGAATTTAATCAGTACAGGTGACTTCAGAATTATTAACAAAAGTTCAAAGGTATATGTAACATCAGAGAGTCATACAGTACATTATTATCATATATAATACGCTCTAGCTAATCTCATAGAATTATAAACTACTTTAAAGTTCAGCCTGATAAATTCTTAGAAGATTATTTGCACATTAGACTGTGGGGATATTTAGGTGAGATTTTCTTAATCTCATTTAATCACCACAAACCATAATCTAAGGATCAAGCACATAGAAATCGCTTGAAGGGTTTGCACCGGTTTTTCAGCCGACGCCATTGAGGTATAACATGGGTATTGTAGTCCTCTCACTGTATGTCGGGCTTGTGTGTAAACACAACATCATCACTTTCTCGTCCCCGCAGTCCGCTAAGCCAGTGCTGTTATAGATTCACATTTAAAGATGAGGCTGAGGTGGAAATTGCTCTTTGATGTTGTGTGTGAGCGGAGTGATAACACCCATGTCAATACCCGGCCTACAGGCAGCCGGTTCTCCACTCAGACCCCACTACACTGTCTGTAGGTGACAAGTTCAGTATAAGTAACATTTAACTGTACACAGAGCTGACTGCATTGTTACTTGTACTGCTCTCAGATATGCTGGAGTGTATGGTAGCATGTAACGTGTGTGCTTAAATGGATGGCGAAGTTTCACTGTTTGAATGAAGTTCTGCATATAGCATGGCAGGCACAAGCTTGTGAAATTAAATTGTCAGAGATTTCAAGTGCTCACACTTTATTTAAATTTTGAGGGTCTTTTAAATGATCCCTTTTTATGGAATACAGATAAAAGTTTAAGAGGGTAGCCTGTTTATTTGATGAGTGTGTTGTCTTTGTTAGAGGAAAGCTCTGTATGCTGTGTATTTTACTTGTATGTGATGAGTGTGTTGTCTTTGTTAGAGGAAAGCTCTGTATGTTGTGTATTTTACTTGTATGTGATGAGTGTGTTGTCTTTGTTAGAGGAAAGCTCTGTATGTTGTGTATTTTACTTGTATGTGATGAGTGTGTTGTCTTTGTTAGAGGAAAGCTCTGTATGTTGTGTATTTTACTTGTATGTGATGAGTGTGTTGTCTTTGTTAGAGGTGAGACTGGAAAGCTCTGTATGTTGTGTATTCTACTTGTATGTGATGAGTGTGTTGTCTTTGTTAGAGGTGAGACTGGAAAGCTCTGTATGTTGTGTATTCTACTTGTATGTGATGAGTGTGTTGTCTTTGTTAGAGGTGAGACTGGAAAGCTCTGTATGTTGTGTATTCTACTTGTATGTGATGAGTGTGTTGTCTTTGTTAGAGGAAAGCTCTGTATGTTGTGTATTTTACTTGTATGTGATGAGTGTGTTGTCTTTGTTAGAGGAAAGCTCTGTATGTTGTGTATTTTACTTGTATTGAGTGTGTTGTCTTTGTTAGAGGTGAGATGGAAAGAGTGTATGTTGTGTATTGTCTTGTTGTGATGAGTGTGTTGTCTTTGTTAGAGGTGAGACTGGAAAGCTCTGTATGTTGTGTATTCTACTTGTATGTGATGAGTGTGTTGTCTTTGTTAGAGGTGAGACTGGAAAGCTCTGTATGTTGTGTATATTCTACTTGTATGTGATGAGTGTGTTGTCTTTGTTAGAGGAAAGCTCTGTATGTTGTGTATTTTACTTGTATGTGATGAGTGTGTTGTCTTTGTTAGAGGAAAGCTCTGTATGTTGTGTATTTTACTTGTATGTGATGAGTGTGTTGTCTTTGTTAGAGGTGGGACTGGAAAGCTCTGTATGTTGTGTATTTTACTTGTATGTGATGAGTGTGTTGTCTTTGTTAGAGGAAAGCTCTGTATGTTGTGTATTCTACTTGTATGTGATGACTTGTATGTGTTGAGTGTGTTGTCTTTGTTAGAGGAAAGCTCTGTATGTTGTGTATTTTACTTGTATGTGATGAGTGTGTTGTCTTTGTTAGAGGAAAGCTCTGTATGTTGTGTATTTTACTTGTATGTGATGAGTGTGTTGTCTTTGTTAGAGGAAAGCTCTGTATGTTGTGTATTCTACTTGTATGTGATGAGTGTGTTGTCTTTGTTAGAGGTGAGACTGGAAAGCTCTGTATGTTGTGTATTCTACTTGTATGTGATGAGTGTGTTGTCTTTGTTAGAGGTGAGACTGGAAAGCTCTGTATGTTGTGTATTCTACTTGTATGTGATGAGTGTGTTGTCTTTGTTAGAGGTGAGACTGGAAAGCTCTGTATGTTGTGTATTCTACTTACTTGTATGTGATGAGTGTGTTGTCTTTGTTAGAGGTGAGACTGGAAAGCTCTGTATGTTGTGTATTCTACTTGTATGTGATGAGTGTGTTGTCTTTGTTAGAGGTGAGACTGGAAAGCTCTGTATGTTGTGTATTCTACTTGTATGTGATGAGTGTGTTGTCTTTGTTAGAGGTGAGACTGGAAAGCTCTGTATGTTGTGTATTCTACTTGTATGTGATGAGTGTGTTGTCTTTGTTAGAGGTGAGACTGGAAAGCTCTGTATGTTGTGTATTCTACTTGTATGTGATGAGTGTGTTGTCTTTGTTAGAGGTGAGACTGGAAAGCTCTGTATGTTGTGTATTTTACTTGTATGTGATGAGTGTGTTGTCTTTGTTAGAGGAAAGCTCTGTATGTTGTGTATTTTACTTGTATGTGATGAGTGTGTTGTCTTTGTTAGAGGAAAGCTCTGTATGTTGTGTATTTTACTTGTATGTGATGAGTGTGTTGTCTTTGTTAGAGGAAAGCTCTGTATGTTGTGTATTCTACTTGTATGTGATGAGTGTGTGTTGTCTTTGTTAGAGGTGAGACTGGAAAGCTCTGTATGTTGTGTATTCTACTTGTATGTTGTCTTTGATGATGTTGTGTATTCTACTTGTATGTGTGTGTGTTGTCTTTGTTAGAGGTGAGACTGGAAAGCTCTGTATGTTGTGTATTCTACTTGTATGTGATGAGTGTGTTGTCTTTGTTAGAGGTGAGACTGGAAAGCTCTGTATGTTGTGTATTCTACTTGTATGTGATGAGTGTGTTGTCTTTGTTAGAGGTGAGACTGGAAAGCTCTGTATATGTTGTGTATTGAGTACTTGTATGTGATGAGTGTGTTGTCTTTGTTGAGAGGTGAGACTGGAAAGCTCTGTATGTTGTGTATTCTACTTGTATGTGATGAGTGTGTTGTCTTTGTTAGAGGTGAGACTGGAAAGCTCTGTATGTTGTGTATTTTACTTGTATGTGATGAGTGTGTTGTCTTTGTTAGAGGAAAGCTCTGTATGTTGTGTATTTTACTTGTATGTGATGAGTGTGTTGTCTTTGTTAGAGGAAAGCTCTGTATGTTGTGTATTTTACTTGTATGTGATGAGTGTGTTGTCTTTGTTAGAGTAAAGCTCTGTATGTTGTGTATTTTACTTGTATGTGATGAGTGTGTTGTCTTTGTTAGAGGAAAGCTCTGTATGTTGTGTATTTTACTTGTATGTGATGAGTGTTGTACATGTCCCTGTACCTGTGTGTTGTACCTGTCCCTGTACCTGTGTGTTGTACATGTCCTAGTAGCTGTGTGTTCCACCTGTCCCAGTACCTGTGTGTTCCACCTGTCCCAGTACCTGTGTGTTCCACCTGTCCTTGTACCTGTGTGTTCCACCTGTCCCTGTACCTGTGTGTTCTACCTGTCCCAGTACCTGTGTGTTCTACCTGTCCCTGTACCTGTGTGTTGTACATGTCCCAGTAGCTGTGTGTTGTACCTGTGCCTCTACCAGTGTGTTGTACCTATCCCTGTACCTGTGTGTTGTACCTTTCTCTGTACCTGTGTGTTGTACCTGTCCCTGTACCTGTGTGTTGTACATGTCCCAGTACCTGTGTATTGTACCTGTGCCTCTACCAGTGTGTTGTACCTGTGTGTTGTACATGTCCCAGTAGCTGTGTTGTACCTGTCCCTGTACCTGTGTGTTCCACCTGTCCTTGTACCTGTGTGTTCTACCTGTCCCAGTACCTGTGTGTTGTACATGTCCCAGTAGCTGTGTGTTCCACCTGTCCCTGTACCTGTGTGTTGTACCTATCCCTCTACCTGTGTGTTCTACCTGTCCCTGTACCTGTGTGTTGAACCTGTCCCAGTACCCGTGTGTTGTACATGTCCCAGTAGCTGTGTTGTACCTGTCCCAGTACCTGTGTGTTGTACCTGTCCCAGTACCTGTGTGTTGTACCTGTCCCAGTACCTGTGTGTTGTACCTGTCCCAGTACCTGTGTGTTGTACCTGTCCCAGTACCTGTGTGTTCTACCTGTCCCAGTACCTGTGTGTTCTACCTGTCCCAGTATCAAGGGTGTATTGTATGTATTCTCCCTGATTATTTGGCAGACACACGCTCAGAGGGAGGAGAGCTACATGAAGCTGCAGAATCATCGCCAGCACCTGAAGGAGGACCAGTATCTGTTGAAGGAACACGAGAAGGAACATCTCCGCCTCATCCGCATCGGAACCAAGACAGACATGGCCAACTCGGACTTGTACTAGAATGTCACTAAAATGGATCACCAGTAACTTGTTCTAGAACACCACATAGAAAGGGGCACCTGGGACGTGGACTAGAACACCTCACAGACATGAACACCTCTGATGCGTACTAGAATGCCACTAAAATAGGGTCGCCTCTGACTTCTACTAGAACACCATTAACAAATGGCCACTTTTTCAGTAAAAGAACATCAAACTGCTCTGAGCTGAGGGGGACCTTTGATTTATGTGGCAATAACTTGAAATTTTAAAGTTATGGATTATGACAATGTCACTTTGATTTACAAATTTTACATTCTTACTTTTTAATACTGATTTCAGGTGTACTGTATCCTGCAAAAAATGCTGCACTGTAACATACAACAACTGTACTGTAGTGTGCAACAACTTACTGTAGTGTGCAACAACTGTACTGTAGTGTGCAACAACTGTACTGTAGTGTGCAACAACTTACTGTAGTGTGCAACAACTGTACTGTAGTGTGCAACAACTGTACTGTAGTGTGCAACAACTGTACTGTAGTGTGCAACATCTGTACTGTAATGTGCAACAACTGTACTGTAGTGTGCAACAACTGTACTGTAGTGTGTAAGAAATAAGAGTAAAAGGATTTGTTATCTCCCTAAGACTGGGACCAGCTGAAGAGCGTAATTTAACAACGTGCATTCTGTCCACATGGAGGAGCATTCAGTATTCATTCATATTTGCATCATAGTGTTGCTCTTGTAGACTGGTGTAATGGCACCAGAGTTTGTCAGGGATGGAACTTTGCACTAGCCAGCTAGAGGGCAGAAGGATTCTAGGCATTTCAGGGGGTAACATGCTTTCGTATCAACTGCATGGCCGTGTTTCACTGCGTTCTGAAACTGGGTGACTAGACATGGGTTACCTTCTTCACCCTTGCTGCAGTGAGTTTCATCTTCAGATTAGCTTGGCTTGCTTTAGCTTTTACATATGGAATGACAATTGTATAAATGACAGGTGCTACTGGTACAGCAGAACGTGCTTACCACTTTCGCAGACACCTGGTGTCTTCACTGATTATCAGTGATCCAGTTATATGATTCTCATTACCATGTTAGCGTTTATACCCAGTTGAATCTGTTTGGGTATTTATTCGAGACTGTCTTTTCTCTGGTTTTGCAACTTTTGATTACTATTCCAACAGTAATTTATTGTGTTTATTATACAAAGACAGTGTCTGAGTACAAGTCACTTCCTAACAAGTGTTGATCTGGCATGATGTACCGGCTCAACACTGTGGAATATAGTCCCTTATAAGTGGCAGTCCCTTTACTGTAGACCGTCTCATGGACGTGTCAGTCTCCGTCTCATGGACGTGTCAGTCTCGGGAGGAACAGCAGCTGTTCTTTTATTGATTTGATTGCATTTGTTTGATTGACACAGCCAAAGACATGATAATATACAAATGGATATTTTACCATTTAAATTGTGTGCATTTTCAATTTTGCTTGTGTGTGTTCAGTTTGAAGTAAGTAGTTTGTTCATGGTGAACATGTTGATTTCATACATACTACCATTTTACAAGCCGATTAACTTTTTTTATGGCCGCTTTAGTTTTTTTAGAGCTTGTTCCATCATTTAGTGAGCTATGGCCTCCCACCTTGAACAGCTGTCCCTGGTCCAGGGCTGGGTGAGGACTGGTAGAGAAGGCTTCCTTACAAGCGAGCCCAAGCAAAACATGACTGGTATGCACAAGGTCAACCATTCAGCTTTCAGAATCAGCTGCTATGTAATCCCACTTTCTAATACACAACTTGTTCAAAGAAAAATCTTGTAGAAATTGTCATGAAAAGCTGCTGATGATAACCTCCTTGATTGGAGAGTGAAAGTGAGCCTTGACAACGCCCACTGTGGGTGCCCCGCCCCCTGTTGTAGTAGGGGAGTGGAACTGAGGGACACGCCATCAGGAGGGGGGACCACACACGGAGCTCCACCATAACTTCCAGCTAGCTGTATGGAAAATATTGTCTCAGATTTTATATGAAAGCGGTGTGTTGGGAAGCACTATGCCTCGGGATGAAAAGACCAAATACAGAAGTCATGCATTAGCAGAATAAACTTTTCAATGGCATGTAAGTGTTGAAGGGCTTTATGTTGGCCTTCATTATTGGTGAAGGGTTGCTTGTTGTAGAGGCTGTTGACACTGTCAAATGGGAAAATGATTATGTGGCCCTCTGTTGCTGTATTCAATGTTGCGGCTACAGTAATGTCGCCGATATTGTAGCATTGGCACATTATCCGCACCGATGTTGTAGCATTGCCACATTATCCGCCCATGCTATTGTGTGTGTACACTTATCACAAACATTTATCACATGTTTCCACAGAGTGAATGCACACAAGAATGGATGCTTGTATGAACAGATTGTCACATAGTTCCACCTGTATAATGTATTTCATATAGTGTTATATGGCTTCATATTGTTACACCATGGCAAGTTCAAGCTGTGTTATTGAGGCAGATGTATTACCTTTTGAGCTCAGCCCTGTATGTGGGAACACTCCCAGACACTGTACAGGTGGGACATAATGGCGGATGACACCTGTTGAAAATGAAAATCTGAACTTATATACTTATATTTTAGAGCTTAAATGTTAAACTGTTTTTTGTCAAGTTTAGATTAGACTGTCATGAGGTACAGATTTTGTAATTGAGCTTTTGTAGATAACAATGTCAGCAGATTTCAGGGATATTTATAAGTGTGTCTCAGTTTTTACAATTTACACCAATTACAGATTTATATCAAAATGGTACTTGTTTTATATCAATGTGCATTTGATAACACCACAGTATTTCTTTTCTACTTTTTGTGTGATGTGACAGATTACCTTGCAGCATTGACAAATTTATTTGCTTCACAGTGACAACTGTTTTTTGTGTTTGTGTGCGTTCTTATTGTATACCAATGGGTGTTCTTATTATATCATGAAGCTATTACAAGGGATTTCTTTTCCATATAGCTCCAGCAGATCTGTCATTTAAGATTTCTTTCAGGCTGGTTGAAGCAAAATTCCTTACACTGTCAATATGAACATATTTTAATATGCAGAATATTTTGACTGATTGATTATATTCACATAAATTTCAAGATTTTTATAAGATATCAAATTTTCGAGAGATGTGTTTTTAGAAACTTAACCTAATTTTCTTTATTTCTAAAATCTTTTTTTGTAATAATAGTGTTCAACATAAACATTGATTTGCCAGGAGAGAGAAAGGGACACGGGACATTTCCCTTGTGTACAACCACTTTCACCACCATGTGGTGGATGGCACTCCTGCTGTAGATCATGTTTGTGGGCCTGTGAAAGTCTACTTTGGAATAGTCCTGGAAGTAATTTCCAATTCAGTTGTTTACCTAACAATGTACACACGACCCATTGATTGTATATCATATGGATTGTTATATATTGTAAGTTGTCTTTAAAGAAAAGACTTAATTTTGTGTATCAGCATTTAATGAAACAATACAGCATTATTAAGTATATGTGTTCTAGTATGTAGATACAGAGTACAGTCAGGTAGAGTACAGTCACCAGTGAATGCGAACCACAGGGCATGGTATTCATTGGGATGAAATACATCCGAGTCCATTGTTTTACCAATAAGTATGAAAAATTCACACATACAAATTTGATTGTGATGATGATGTGTATTGCACCTACCCTGGGGGCTGTACAAGTGAAGCTGCTCCTGAGGCACTAGCAGTCACAGTTCTATATTATCCTACCGGGTACCCATGAACAGAGGTGGGTGAACAGAGGCATGTTTCCTCTCTATGTCGATGTTTTACTGTTATGACTAATGACATGTTTGGAAGGCTAGAGTTTCCATGAGAATTGTTATAGCTTGAAGTGTCTATCTATTCAAAGAATATATTTTGAGTTGTTGTGATAATGTTTTCTCAGCTGTTGAAATGCATTTGTTTATATATTTAGAGTTTTAGATGTACCTAATGCCAAAGCTTTATACAGAAAGTATTAATCCTTTTTTCTGATCTATATCTGATAGGTTTCAACAGCTTCACTATACTGCCTTGGTTTTTTATCAAATCTGGCCAGGTTTGGGACCATTGACACAGTTACTGAGTATGACTGAGTATATAATAACGTAATTAGTTAGTTAAATCTCAGCACAAGAACAGTTAGTATCTCTTTTTGTGTCCCTGTTAAGAGTTGTTATTGTACATTAATGGAAATAAATTCAGGAAGAATTATGTGTTTGTTCACATATTATGTTTGTAATAGAGAAACTGTGTTTGGCTGCCGTGATGTGTATCAAATTAGACAAACCGGGAAGCAAAGAAAATAAACTGTTTGGTGTTAATAACTGTGTCATATTACTTAAGTGAGGACTATTTCCTCCAGGGCAATCTCCATAATGACCTTGACCTTTACGTGGCAGGTTCTACCAGTAGAGCAGGACACACTCACCGGTTTTACTGAGACCTGGTGTCATATGAATATATTATGATGTATTGGTGTTGATTTTTTCAAGTGTTACCTCCTCTTCCGGGACAGGTATTACTATCTGTAAGTCATAAATGTATTTAATATTTGATGTGAGCATATCTGTCATACTGTGAAGTTCTTCATTGTTTTGTATGTGTATTGTGTTTCTGACTTGCTGAATATTCAGCCACCTTGGCTGGAGTTTGTCAGTGTTTTAAAGAAGTAAATCATCAGTTATCTGACTGGTTGGTTTTGTCTTATAAGATGTATTTCTTTTGATCATGAATCAATCAGAATCTGGTGTCAGATGATTGTGTGAGCTGAATGTCAGGTCATTACTTCAAGACAGAAGTGTTGTGTCAGATGATTGTGTGAGCTGAATGTCAGGTCATTACTTCAAGACAGAAGGGGGCGGTGGGGTAGCCTAGTGGTTAAATGTCAGGTCATTACTCAAGACAAGAGTGTTAAGACGTAGGTCGTCAGCCGATTAGAGTTGAATCCAGTGTTGTTGTGTCATTATGATGGGTACAATGTGTGAAGCCTATTTCTGGTGTCCCCCGCCGTGATGTTGCTGGAATATTGCTAAAAGCGGCGTAAAACCAAACTCAGTCAGTCAGTCAGTCAAGACAGAAGTGTTGTGTCAGATGAATGTCAGGTCATTTCTTCAATACAGAAGTGTTGTGTCAGATGATTGTGTGATCTGAATGTCAGTTCATGACTTAAAGACAAGTGTTGTGTCAGATGATTGTGAGAGATTAATGTCAGGTCAATACTTTCTGTGTAGGTCACAGCCTTGTGCCCTGTGATATCCTATGCTTGACATAACTTACTATTTTCGACATTTCGCCAACTGCAGTGTGCATGGAGCTACATGGCAGGTCCCTTCTGTGGGTCATTTCACCTATTGCTTACCCAGCCATGTTGAAAACTGTTCCTGCAGCACAGCAGTCATGGTGAAAATCACCAATAAGTGAATATATGAATGTTTCGTATGGACACAGTTACAGGTTAATAATATTTTATATCTAGATTTTGATACTAATTTACACTCTGTACTTTTTGTTTAGGTTTTGTTTGATATGGGAGTGCAAATATCTACAGGTCAGTTTAAGCTGAAGAACCAGTATTTTCAGCTTTTATTTAGTTATCAAGTATGAAGTTATGAAGGGTCTTGTAATGTTCGATGATGCCAGATGTGGAACCAGAACCAGTCACTGAAAAGTCATACACACTCACTGATGTTGGGATGGGGTGTCTCTATCAGGACACAGGAGGTGCTCTCTACTGACCACCCACCCTCACAGATGTGGGTAAGGTGTCTGTATCTGAACATAGGAGGTGCTCTCTACTGACCACCCACTCTCACAGATGGGGGTAAGGTGTCTGTATCTGGACACAGAAGGTGCGCTCTACTGACCACCCACTCTCACAGATGGGGGTAAGGTGTCTGTATCTGGACACAGAAGGTGCGCTCTACTGACCACCCACCCTCACAGATGGGGGTTAGGTGTCTGTATCTGAACACAGGAGGTGCTCTCTACTGACCACCCACTCTCACAGATGTGGGTTAGGTGTCTGTATCTGGACACAGAAGGTGCGCTCTACTGACCACCCACTCTCACAGATGGGGGTAAGGTGTCTGTATCTGAACACAGGAGGTGCTCTCTACTGACCACCCACTCTCACAGATGTGGGTTAGGTGTCTGTATCTGGACACAGAAGGTGCGCTCTACTGACCACCCACCCTCACAGATGTGGGTTAGGTGTCTACAGGTATCTGGACACAGAAGGTGCACTCTACTGACCACCCACTCTCACAGATGTGGGTTAGGTGTCTGTATCTGGACACAGCAGGTGCGCTCTACTGACCACCCACTCTCACAGATGGGGGTAGGGTGTCTGTATCTGGACACAGGAGCTGCTCTCTACTGACCACCCACTCTCACAGATGGGGGTAAGGTGTCTACAGGTATCTGGACACAGGAGCTGCTCTCTACTGACCACCCACTCTCACAGATGTGGGTAAGGTGTCTACAGGTATCTGGACACAGGAGCTGCTCTCTACTGACCACCCACTCTCACAGATGGGGGTAAGGTGTCTACAGGTATCTGGACACAGGAGCTGCTCTCTACTGACCACCCACTCTCACAGATGGGGGTAAGGTGTCTACAGGTATCTGGACACAGAAGGTGCTCTCTACTGACCACCCAATCTTACTGATGTGGGTAAGGTGTCTACAGGTATCTGGACACAGAAGGTGCACTCTACTGACCACCCAGTCTTACTGATGTGGGTTAGGTGTCTGTATGTGGACACAGAAGGTGCGCTCTACTGACCACAAACTCTCACAGATGTGGGTTAGGTGTCTGTATCTGAACACAGGAGGTGCTCTCTACTGACCACCCACTCTCACAGATGTGGGTTAGGTGTCTGTATCTGGACACAGGAGGTGCTCTCTGCAGTTGATGTAGGCCAGATTTTATCACAATGTTGTAAGCAATAGGTAACACCTGTGATGTCAACAGTAGGTAAATGTTTTGGTTTCAATACCATGTAACAGTGTACTAACTTATGTTGTCAACAGTATCTCCTGTCGTGTGTCATCCTATTCCATGATTGTGAGATAGGTATCTGTGTGTCAACAGGTCCGGTTGGCAACAACAGGCAAGTGCATGCTGTTGATGTATTCTCATTGCAGTTGTCTGCTGGCTGTATCGTGTAACAGCGGGAACCAGCTAGCTTGTAATTCTGTTAAGCATTGCTTGGGTAACCTTGTTTTATGTTGCAGATTATTGTTTTGTATTTTTAAGGACATCTAAATGTTCTCATGTGTCATGAATCTATGTAATTCAATAAGTTATATATGTTGTGGATTATGCAATATCTCAAATTATTGTACTAAACTCTTTCTTGCGTCAGACACTCCCAACAGAGTCAACACTATCATGCCAGGTACATGCAACAATGTGGGGTACTGGCTACAGTGTCAGGTACTATACTGGGTACTGGCTACTGTGACCAGTACTGTACCAAGTACTGGCTACTGTGACCAGTACTGTACCAAGTACTGGCTACTGTGACCAGTACTGTACCAAGAACTGGCTACTGTGACCAGTACTGTACCAAGTACTGGCTACTGTGACCAGTACTATACCAAGTACTGGCCACTGTGACCAGTGCTATACCAAGTACTGGCTACTGTGACCATCACTATACCAGGTACTGGCTACTGTGACCAGCACTATACCAGGTACTGGCTACTGTGACCAGCACTATACCAGGTACTGGCTACTGTGACCAGCACTATACCAGGTACTGGCTACTGTGACCAGTACTGTACCAAGTACTGGCTACTGTGACCAGTACTGTACCAAGTACTGGCTACTGTGACCAGCACTATACCATGTACTGGCTACTGTGACCAGCACTATACCATGTACTGGCTACTGTGACCAGCACTATACCAAGTACTGGCTACTGTGACCAGTACTGTACCAAGTACTGGCTACTGTGACCAGTACTGTACCAAGTACTGGCTACTGTGACCAGCACTATACCAGGTACTGGCTACTGTGATCAGCACTATACCAGGCACTGGCTACTGTGACCAGTACTATACCAGGCACTGGCTACTGTGACCAGCACTATACCAGGCACTGGCTACTGTGACCAGCACTATACCAGGTACTGGCTACTGTGACCAGCACTATACCAGGTACTGGCTACTGTGACCAGCACTATACCAGGTACTGGCTACTGTGACCAGTACTATACCAGGTACTGGCTACTGTGACCAGCACTATACCAGGTACTGGCTACTGTGACCAGTACTATACCAGGTACTTGTCATCATCTTGATGCAGTTCACCATATATGCAGCATTACTAGAGGCGTGTTGAGATCCCTGTGTGCAACCACGTGTATGTTAGTCACCTGTGTGTGTGGATATTCTGAAAATAAACACTTTCACTCAATCTTCATTTGTCTCTGCATGTATACCAATGTATGACACAATGAAATAACATATCATGCTACTATAAGGGTTTACGTGTCTGATCAAGCTGATACCCCATCTTGATAATACCAACACTCAAAGTGAGTGAGTGAGTTTAGTTTTATGCCGCTTTTAGCAATATCACCAGCTTTGAATAGCGCTGTGGTGACAAAAACTGGAAAATAATAAAGGAACGCTTGAATTTTCCTTTGATCCTTTGTTTGTTTCTCTCAGTATATAGTTTCATTGTGAAAGGGTCCAGAAGGCATTCATTCAACCACAGTTTCTTGGCCAGGTGGTAGGGCTGTAACGATGCGTCGAACTATCGATGGATTGCAATTGTTAAGTCTCCGATAGCAATTAATTGATGGTAGAAACGAAAAACTATCAGTGCATCGATAGTATGTGTGACTATCGATAGTTTAGTAATTGACTTCCGTTGATAAATGCGCAGCGCAAAATGCAGGAAGTACCAGATTCGTTCACTTTGATTTAGAGTTATATATCCACCCATATGACCTCTTAAACAAACTTGATCTGGGTTTCAAGTTTCTTGTCAGTTATTAAAAGAGACTGAATTTACTTCAGCTTATTTATATTTCATATAAACTATACATTCATTTGGGAAATGACTTCAAATGAGATAATTCATGAGAGAAAAACAAAACTATTGCAATAGTTGGTTGCAATAGTATGTTGCAATAGACCATCGCTATTACAATAGTTGTTTCCCCCTCAATAGTCGCCCCTACCAGCCTGGATAAATGCATAGAGTACATGCCGCAGAGGAACGCCCAAGACTAGAAAATGGTACTTCTTGTTACCCTGCCTGCAGCTAGACCTTTAGTTATAGAACAAGGAGTGTAGCAATATATGGCATGGTATCTCAGTGTGCCTGCACATCCGACATTAACTCTGATTAGTTACACAACCATGCAACGTCCAACTGGTCATTTTCAACACCACACCATATATGTCTCTCACTCTTTTGTGTGTCCAATAGAGGCAATATCAGATACCTAACCTACCTTCAGTGTTATGAAACAGTAGGCATTTGCATTTAAACCAAGCTACGCACGTATATGTAACGATGAGATGTTGAGCTCTGGTTGAAATTCATCGTTTGTTCCTGTTTAACGCAAAAATATATATTATACGGCTATGGTATCTGTATACAAGGGGACGTTAATCATGTTCAGATTTGGGTACTACAGGCGTGCACGTTTCACCCTGATAGTGGTTCTGGGTTTCTCAAAACCACACACACACACACACACACACACACACCTCCCCCGCGCGCTCTGGATTTCCTCAAAGTGATACACATCTAACACCTGCATCATGTAGTTCTTTCCACTCACATCAAGCTGACGCGCAGTAACTGACATACTGTTCAACGCGGCGTAAAACCCAACTCACTCACTCACTCATTCTCTGTTGCGGACAGCAAGCTACCCATTGGTGAGTTTACAGACCGTGGTAGACATAGCCCTCGTTGGTTTCACCCAAGCATTAAACGTCGTCCTTCTTTCAGGGCTTTCACACAATGCTGACTGCCTCTCTGACTTGTCCGGAATACTGCTGGAACATTTGCTCGGTCATCAGTACAGATGTTTTTCCAGCCGATGCCCTGTACGAAGGGACAACAGATGTATCACTGATACTGTTGCCTTCATGATGTTCGTTGCCACTGGGGGCGGTGGGGTAGCCTAGTGGTTAAAGCGTTCGCTCGTCACGCCGAAGACCCAGGTTTGATTCACCACATGGGTACAATGTATGAAGCCCATTTCTGGTGTACCCCGCCGTGATATTGCTGGAATATTGCTTAAAAAGCGGCGTAAAACTGAACTCACTCGTTGCCACTGTGTTCGACATCAGGTCCCCGGAGCTGGAGTTCTGCGGAGGGGGCACTCTGTACATGTAGGAACTGCAAGACACTGCTGCAGTACATGAAACAACCTCCGAAGTCGAGTCAGCATGTGTATGGTGGATTCCGCTAGATAAACTTACACTTACAATTTGCAACGTAAGCGATCCTAGGTCCAGGTCTAAACAACATCCTCGCCTCCATAGCTGCCCCGTCGTCTAAGCCTTGCAATGTCGCTGAGCAGAGTTGAGCCCCTTATGCCGCCAGAAATCTGTGATTGTGGGTTCGGATACCTCATCTCAACACTTGGGTTTCTTGGGTTGCAAGCACCATACCGGTCCACGTTGGTTTCTTGGGTTGCCAGCACCATACCTGTCCTCGTGGGTTTCTTGGGTTGCCAGCACCATACCGGTCCACGTGGGTTTCTTGGGTTGCCAGCACCATACCGGTCCACGTGGGTTTCTTGGGTTGCCAGCACCACACCTGTCCTCGTGGGTTTCTTGGGTTGCCAGCACCATACCGGTCCTTGTGTTTTTTTTGGGTTGCCAGCACCATACCGGTCCACGTGGGTTTCTTGGGTTGCCAGCACCATACCAGTCCACGTGGGTTTCTTGGGTTGCCAGCACCATACCGGTCCACGTGGGTTTCTTGGGTTGCCAGCACCATACCAGTCCACGTGGGTTTCTTGGGTTGCCAGCACCATATACCTGTCCTCGTGGGTTTCTTGGGTTGCCAGCACCATACCAGTCCACGTGGGTTTCTTGGGTTGCCAGCACCATACCAGTCCTCGTGGGTTTCTTGGGTTGCCAGCACCATATACCTGTCCTCGTGGGTTTCTTGGGTTGCCAGCACCATACCAGTCCACGTGGGTGTCTTGGGTTGCCAGCACCATACCAGTCCACGTGGGTTTCTTGGGTTGCCAGCACCATATACCTGTCAGCGTGGGTTTCTTGGGTTGCCAGCACCATACCGGTCCACGTGGGTGTCTTGGGTTGCCAGCACCATACCAGTCCACGTGGGTTTCTTGGGTTGCCAGCACCATACCAGTCCACGTGGGCTGTGACGCTGGAACGATAGTTATGATATAAACCACTTGAATATTTGGACCACAGCCGATTATTACAAGCGGTCGTAATATGGTTGTAAGAGTGCTGACTCCAGCATGAGACTACGAATGAACTAGAAGCTCCTGCCTGTGTCGGCCCGCTATTGGTAGTGGCAATGATGACGTTCCTACACATGACGAGTGTCTGTCGAACCATTGAAGATTAGCCCACCATTTTGTAGATGCTCCTCAACAATTTGTGATGTGACTGAAATGGTTTGACAGCACTGCTTGATATTAAATGATCTGTTATATCAATGGATTTTCGTGTCAGAGTGAACTCGAGACTTTCCAAAGAAGACTTGAAGGTACTGCTTTCTTCCATTACTGGCGACGCGAGGGGCTTAGTTCAAGTGACAGTGACGTGTTCTCTTGGGGAGGCGTGAGGCGGTAATGTGACCTGTAAGCAGACGACACACACGAGGCGATAGATATATGTACGCTCTCCCAAACTGATCTCTTGTAAGTAAACTAGTTGATTGACAGGCTTAGAGTGGCAGCTTTTCACCAGAATGATCCCATGTAAGCGCCACGAGACTCTCATCCAAATTGGCCAGCATACATCTGTTGTCCCCTCGTATAGGGTTCTCGGCTGGAATTTACTCGGATGGCGTGTAATCTGTTGATGTCATCTTTCGCAACACGAGCATTCGCTTCAAGTGGATGGTAAATACACATTAAATTCCTCCGAGATAAGCTAGATACCATAATAGGTGATAATTCTATCTACCTACTGATCTGCCTGTGGCCTCGGATGCTCCACAACCTCTTCTGTAGGCAGTGTGTACAGAACAGTCCACTCTGGCCCTCAAGTCAATCGACCTGTTCCTGGATCTGCAAAAAAGTCAAGTAGGTCTGCCACACATCTTTTACCCGCTCCTTCAAGACGATGTTTTACATCAGGATCGTGCCCTGGAACTTGCTCCGGTACCGGGTGGGGCCGGCCAGAAGGGATAGGCACTTAGCCCCTGACGTCTCACGCAAACCCTTATGTACTATGTTTTACATCTGGGTCGTGGCCAGGTCCTGACTCGAATTCCGGGTGGAGCCGGGTAGGGGGGCCGGGGGCCTGGCCCCCTGGTGTCACACCACACGCTGCCGCGTTGACAAATGGATACGCGGAGGAGGAGGGTCACCGCCACAGACGCCGTTGTCGTGGAGCGGTTGTTGGATACCAGGCACCCCTCCAACATTTATATGTGGGAGTAGTCACGGAGATGCCTGGAGCGCGGACTGCCGACTACCTGAAGCTGCCCATGATAGATATACCCAGATCTTAATGTACTCTCCTTATAGAGTCTGGGCAGGCTTATATGGGTGGATGCAGAGACACAGAAAGTGATACTTGCCGGAGAGGTTAATGTTACTACATTAATATAAACATTTCCAAGAATGGAGCTTAGTAAGGGAAAGACAATGAAATATTCTTAACCGGACATTCTTTTCAGGACTTTTGGCAATGTTATATATTTGCTTTAATCAGAGACTGAAATTGTTCTTTACAGTATTTAGAGTGAGGTGAGGTGAAATTGGGTTTAACGTCGTACTTGAGAATAATTCGCTCATATGACGACGTGCATGCGTGTGTATGTGTATGTGCGGCTGCTTGTACAAGCCCAGACTTAAGCTGGTTTTATAGTACTAGCCCACTGAGATACCATGCCGCAGTGAAGCATGAATACCCCACTCAGACACATTATACTGACTCCGAGCCGACCAGTCCTTGTTGTACCCATTAATGCCGAGAGCCAGGCAGGGACCAACAAGTACCATATTTTAACGTCTTTTGGTATGACGCGGTCGGGGATCGAACCCGCGACCTTCCGCTCTCCGTGCGGACGCTCTAACCACTACACCACGGAGGCGGTCTCCGAACTCAACGTAGTGACGAAGATTGAATAGTAACTACATTGTTTCATCATTTCTCTCTTCTGTTACCGACCCGTGAAGGTCGGTTAGTACTGATCTCCAGCAACCCAGCTTGTCGTAAGAGGCGACTGATGGGATC